CTCTCACCTTCGACTCTCATCCCTGCTCCCCCCTGCATCGTAATAGTGACCTTTCCATTGCTTAAATGTAAGCAAAATAAACCGATGAATAAATAGACTTGTACGTGTGAATGTTTGACAAGCGTGGAAGTCGCGCGCCCCTTTGCAGAGGAGGGGGGTGAGAGTCGAAGGTGAGAGTCGTGCGCCCCTTTGCAGGGGAAAGAGGGGGTGAGAGTCGAGGGTGAGATTCGCGTGCCCCTTTGCAGGGGGGAGAGGGGGTGAGAGTAGAAGGTGAGATTCGCACGCCTCTTTGCAGGGGTTGAGGGGGGATGAGAGTCGTGCGCCCCTTTGCAGGGAGGAAGGAGGGTGACAATCGTGCGCCCCTTTGCAGGAGAGAAGGGGGAGTAAGAGTCGAAAGTGAGAGTCGTGCGCCCCTTTGCAAAAGAGAAGGGGAGTGAGAGTTGAAGGTCAGAGTTATCTGACTTTTCATGTAAAGCAGTGAAATAATTACTAACTTTGACTGTTAATAACTTTTTAACGGATAGCGACTGCCACCTGTAACCTGGTGGAGGTCACTCAGGGTCATGACCTTGACAACATATGTCAAGGTCAAGGTCATCGGGGGTGACTCCCCTAATCTTAACATTTACCGGCCTGGCCTAACTAAAGCCTAGCTAAAGCTAACTGTCGTTAAAATATCCTCCTCCACCATTTTTGATAACTGGTTCAACTTTCGGCTTTAGTGCGAACGGCATTGATATATGCGATGGAAAATAGGATTGATTTTTTTAGTTTTAAGCCATCTTAAAATTCTTTATACTAGTATGTGATTGTTCTGAAAATATAGTTGCAAAACGTGTTTTAATTGATATAATCAGTTTACTATGCTTAAGTTCAACATCCTCCAATTAAAAAATATGACTTGATTCATCTTGAAAATGACATATTTTATTAATATTCTTAGTATCGATAATTTTTGAACTAATAATACTTCTCCAATTTGAACTGAAGTTACTTAACCAATTTCGATCCAGCAACGAAATAAACTTAGCTTTACTATTTAGAACACTCAATGGTAACTTAAGCCTTTTGTCGTTATATGTAGCTCTGACTAAGATTTGCCCGACTATAATTACATTCTCGCCTGTAACACCTTTTAATTTAAAACTAACAGGTTTTAAACTAAGATGCCATAACATTCTATTATAATCGTCGATGTGAATAACTGATTTACACGCTCCCGAATCCACTGCCATGGTGATTACCTTATCTTCAATTTGTAGCTTTACTTTCAAACTTTCATTTTCTTTGGTTTCCAACGTAGGATATACATGATACAATTCGCCTCCCATCTTGCGTTGTGGCCTCCTGCAGTAATTCTAACTCCAATGACTCTTCTTCGATCATGGCGTTAACATTTTCGTTTGGCTCTTCCTCGATTCTTAATTTATGAACATTATTTCTGAATAATGGAGATTTCGCAGTATGACCTATTTTATTGAACGCAAAACATTTTCAATTAATAGCTGGGCAGTGATTGTTGTCGATATGAATACGAAGACATCTCCTACATTTTGGCCGATTGAATTGTTAACTATGGTTCGATTGTTGGTTATGTGGTTCTGTCGCCTGATTCTGAATGTTCTGTCCCTGATTTTGAAAGGTTCTTCGGTTTTGATTTGGAGTGTCCTTTGACCTATGTCCATGTTGGAATTTCAATTTGTTAACTGAAACCATTTCTGTGCCCATAACTTTGATTTGACTTTCCGCCAGTTCCTACTGCAGTTTGGTACGCTCTCGAAAATGTAAGGTTATCTTCGGTTAATAACTTTTATTTGATTGTCTCTGATCGTAGTCCACATACAAACTTATGGCGTAATGCTTCGTCCAAGAACGCAGCAAACTCATAATGTTTGACAAGATTTTAAGCATATTGCGAACAACTTTACGTCTTTGCTGACTTCTTGACTTGTAGTGTAAAATTTGTATCGCTCTGCCATCGTTAAACATCTTGGGTTATAGTGGTTGAACAGCGTTGCTTTTAATTTCATACGTACTTTGACTTGGCAGTAATGGTGCTAGTAGATCCTTAATTACACCGTATGCTTCTCCTCCAATTAAGGTTAGAAATAAGGGTATCTTTTTATTATCTACTATTTCGTTGCATGTAAATAGCTGCTTTATTCGTTCCAAATAGGTTGTAATATTCGATTCTTTCGAATTAAATGATTCAATCTATCCAATCAATGCCATTTTCTCGACGTGTAGACACAGGTTCGATTTAACTTTAGACTTTTAACTTTTAATTGATTGTATACTGAGATACTGTTACGCAGGTTCGGTTCTCGTCGCCAAATTACCGCTATGTATGTTCGAATCACAAACAACACAACTGTAAATAACTTTTATTATTCTGAGTATAGCGATGTTCGTTACAATATATGAATAAGACCATATAGAACAAGAATATATAGGGTGTAAAAAATGTCCCGGACCCCTTAAATATCTTGAAAAGTAATCATTTTTGAGAAAAATGTCTTATACAAAAATTGTAGGGTTGAAAATGATATATTAACTGACCTTATGGATAGTGCCACCAAAGTCAAATCAAGGACAAATCGATCTTTTTAAACGAAACACCGTATTTTTGAGTTTAGAATCTAATAGCTGAGGTCGAGAGCTTTCTAAAACACTATAATAAAGATATCAAAAAGAAATAAGGCTACGAGACATAGGTCAATCAACACATAGTCTAAATTAATAAAATAAACATAACACAATAAACTTTAATAACTGCCGGCAATAAACAATACAAACGTTTCGATCCCTATCGGATCATTATCAATGTTGGAAATGAATACCCAAACAAAGAAAATATATAGAATTAAAAATTAGAACTTCCCTCTCATCTCGCAGTACTTCCGCTAACATATTGAAAATGTACGATGCGAAATTGGTAATGTGTTTCTCCGTTAATGTGCAATGTATGATTTCTGTTGAAAAACATAAGTCATACAGAAATTAAAGTCGGTAATATAAAATATAAGAAATATAAGTCAGTATATAAGAAATATAAAATATAAGAAATATAAATCGGTATATAAGAAATATAAATTTCGTATAATCAAACTAACCAAGACTCCTTATAAATCAAAAGAACTAAGAAAGAACAAGGGCAATAGGAGTCAAACGCGGAAGACATTGCGCAAATAATACGACTATAAAGCGTAAAACTTCTTTATGTTACTAAACGCGCTTACATGTTTCGGCTCATTTTTGAGCCTTCTTCAGAGACAACATAAACTTATATATATAAAATATAACAAATATTAACTTGTCATGGTGAGCTCCTCCGTATCGAGAATAAATGCCAGAATTAAACCCAGATAAGAATGAAATAAAGAAAAACGAAAATAAATTTTGGGAATCTCGAAATAAAGAAAATGAAAATTTAATGTATCAGAAAATTTTGAAATTATAAATAATTAATTATTCCGAAAGTTAGGAAGCTCACCATGGTCACAAGGCACCATATCGCACAAACAATACTATTAGTAATTCAAAAACCGGTTTCTGATATGTTGGCCAGTCAGTATCAGGCACAGTGAGTCACTTTTAGATTTAGTTGGTTTTTATTGAGATAGCAATTAGAAAACTAACGTTAAAAGATTAATCAAATTCAAGAAAAAGAATTTTGAAAATAATTTAAAATCAACGATAGAAAGACTTTTTCCTGTGTACGAGCGATACTGACTGACTAGACGCGACAACAATTCGACCTTTTATAGCTAGTCGATAATCGGGAGGTAGGCCTTGGAAAGCCCCTCCATATCCGTCTGCATGTTAAGTCCGTGCGTCTGTCTCCTGATGAAGATCATTTCTGAAGTCAGTCTCTTTCTGTAGTGAGGTTCCTCATCCAGTAACGTTGTCCCGATCAAACTCATGGCCCTCTTGCAACCGGTGCTCCGTTATGACGTTATGGGTGAACGTGTTCCATCGGATATGGTTCTTGTGTTCCGTGACTCTTGTTTTTAGTTGTCTACATGTAACTTGCGTCACAGTACTTACAAGAAATCTTGTAAACTACATTCGACTTATTACTATGCGGTACGGGATCCTTCCTAATGAATTCTCGCAACTTATTAATACTATAAAACGACACC